TGAATCTGAAGCAACGACCTCTGAACAGGCTAGAAGGGCATAGTACCTGTCCTGTCTTCCCCCTCTAAGGTGACCTCGACCTCCCCGACCTCCACCCCGAGCTGACTGAGGAGGTGGGGTGGCAGCTGGTGCTGGAAGAATGGCCGGAGGACCCGGTGGAGCACGTGGAGGCTGATAAGTCTGTGGAGGTGCACCCCTCCTGGCTCTGGGGCAATCTCTAACCATGTGACGAGTGTCACCACACTCAAAACAACCCCTCGGAGGACGCGGCGGCTAAGACTGACTTGGAGGACGTGGAGGTGCACCCCTCCTGGCTCTGGGGCAATCTAGAGTTTTTATTGTAGAATTAGGGGTCAGGGTAGAAACTAGGGATTTCGGGAATTTGAGGATTTAGACCTCAATTTGAGGTCGGATTCCAAAACCAAATACATATTCGGGCTCCGGGGTGAATGGGTAAATAGATTTTGGTCCGAATCTCGGGCTTTGACCAAACAGGCCCGGGGTCGATTTTTTGACTTTTTGGAGGAAAATTTGAAAAATTTAATTTATGCAATATAATTGATTCCTTTAGCAATATTTGATATTATTGAGTCATTTTTGAATAGATACGAGTAGTTTGGAGGTGAATTCCAAAGGAAATGTTGTGATTGCGAATTAAGTGGCCTTCAGAGCGAGGTAAGTGTTGTGTCTAACCCTTACTTGAGGGAATTAGGAACCTCAGATTATTTGCTATGTGAAATTTATGTGAGCGAAGTATATGTGAGGTGACGAGTACTTATGCGTCGCCAATTTACCTATTTTCTCCCATTTTTCTTATATTGTCTCTTTCCTATGCCTAATTGCTACGTGTTTATACTAGTGTTGTTAAATTGATCGTTCTTATCATGTTTACGGATTTTCTGGTGATAATTGAGTATTTATTTCAAAGTTAAGATTGATATTGTGGAACCAAATGTTGAAGTAAGGTTTGTACTTGTTATTCTATCTCCCTGTTGTTATTTATTCATTGCATTATGGTAAGGGAGAGTGTTAACGCACGAAGGGTGATGACGTGCCATATTGTGAGTGTTAATGCACGAAGGGTGATGACGTGCCATATTGTGAGTGTTAATGCACGAAGAGTGATGCTGTGCCATATTTGTGAGTGTAAAAGCACGAAAAGTGATGCCGTGGCATATTGTGAGTGTTAATGCACGAAGGGTGATGTTGTGCCATGATATGAGAGTTATGTCATGTCATTTCTATTGATTTTATAGTGAGATTGAGAGTAAAAGCACGAAGGGTGATGCCGTGCATTTTTTCTTTACTGTATCTTTGTTTCTGTTGATTCATAGTATATTGCTTGTACTAGTTATTACTCTGGTGTAATTCTTTATCTCGTATTTCGCTCAGCAAGTTTTCCCCTCCCGATAATTCTTGTATAGCTCTTCATTAATGTTATTTGTATATACACTGTTAAATTGTACAGGTTGATTTGTAGGTGTCTTGCCTTAGCCTCGTCACTACTTCGTCGAGGTTAGGCTCGACACTTACCAGTATATGGGGTCGGTTGTACTGATACTGCACTCTGCACTTTCTGTGCAGATTTTGGTACCGGTTCGGGTTGATCGAGATTTTGCTATTGGACAGCTATCCATAGACTCAAGGTAGATCTATCGGCGTTCACATACCTTGAAGTCCCCGTCTATCTTTTCTGTTCTACTGTTTCTCTCATTCAGACAGTAGTATTTCTTTTAGACTATTACTTGTAGTAAATTCTAGAATACTCGTGAATTGTGACTCCATATCCGGGTAGTAGTAATTAATACAGTCTTTATATTATTCCGCACTCATTATAATTCACCTTAGCAAATTTGTTGTTATTTACTGAATGGGATAAGAATTGGTTTAATGATTCTCTAACGTTGGCTTGCCTAGCAAGTGAAATGTTAGGCGCCATCACGCTCCCGACGGTGGAAATTGCGGGTCGTGATAGATACTTACTGGGTGCACGTTGATTTACATACTCATACTACACTTGCTGCACATTTTTGTGCAGGTGCATCTATGACTAGCAGCGTCCCAGGCGCAGAGGTGTGGTTAAATGCGGAGACTTAGGTGAGCTGCATTCCCATTTACGATCCGCAACCAGCGGAGTCCCCTTCAAAGTTTCTTATGTATTTTCTTGTCTAATTTGTATTCTGGACAGGTGCTTTATTTTATTTTATCTTCCTAGTTGATGCTCATGCACTTGTGATAACGGGTTTTGGGATGATTATGGGTTGTTCAGTATTGAAATTGATAAAAATATTATTATTTACTCTGAAAATTTCATCCTTTACTATTTAATTTGAAGAAAAATATGATTTCAAAAATATTAAAAATGAGAGCCAAATTTAGTATTTATTGTTGGCTTGCCTGACAGTGGTGTCCGGCACCATCACAGCCTTAATGGATTTTGGCATCGTGACACTATACCTCAAATAATTGTACCCCCAGACTGATTTTTGCCTTATTTAAAGAGGTTAAGGATTTTGTAAAAACCTATTCATAAATATTCTGAATTCTTCTGAAATATTTATTCATTAAGTTATTTTGTATTTTGTTGTTTCATACATATGTCGTTGATCATAAAAGATTTTTGCCTTATTTAAAGATGAAATGGTGAAAAAAGGTCAACGTTATAAATGATTCAATGATATACTATTGCAAATCTTAACATACTATTACTAATTACCATAGTATTTATTTATATTAAGCAAACATTATTATATAAACATAAGAAATAATTTGATTTTTTTGAATCGTATTGCATAGCAATTAATGAAATATTTTAATAAAGTTTCATATTAAATAAAATTTCTGTGAATAGCAATAAAGTATTTTATATCTATTCATTAAAATAATATAATTAATAGTATATTAATATATTATATTTTTTGATATAATAAATAATAAGAATTAATTTTTACATAAAATACACATACATAACACTAGGTATTTGAAATGAAGTGATAATAATTGATATTAATTAACATCACTGGAGACAATTTTTTCACAATAACATCTGATAAATACAACTTTATAAATATTTAAAACATCATATTGTATTTCTTTTTTTTTTTTGCTATCTATATTTTTTTTTACTATTAACATCAAATACCTAATCCACGTTCACCGCACCAATAGTTCATAATACTGTGCATAAGTTAATCGCAGAAAAAATATAGTACGTATAATTATGCATAGATGTAGAGCCTGACAATAAATAAATACTTACAAGGTGAGACAAAGCATGTAGCATAAATTATTTATTGTGAGAATTATATTTTTATGTATTATTATTAATATAAAATAGTGCTGGAGATAAAATTGTGAATAATTTAATAATATAAATTTGAAAAGTTATTTATTTTGATAATATTGTTCAATTAATCATTAATGGTGACACATAAATAATTAAGTATGTAAATATACTTTTAGTATTTCTTATACATATGAATCATTATTGAAATTTCAATTAGTATATAAAAATGATTTGAGCTAATGTATTTTTATTATGTTTAATATTATTAGTTCATTTGAAAAAAATCCCTTAATAATGAAATATTGTTTAACGTAAGACAAAGCATGTAGCATAAATTATTTATCGTGAGAATTATATTTTTATATATTATTATTAATATAAAATAGTGCTGGAGATAAAATTGTGAATAATTTATGAATATAAATTTGAAAAGTTATTTGTTTTGATAATACTGTTCAATTAATCATTAATGGTGACACATAAATAATTAAGTATGTAAATACATTTTTGGTATTTCTTATACATATGAATCATTATTGAAATGTCAATTAGTATATAAAAAATGATTTGAGCTAATGTATTTTTATTATGTTTAATATTATTAGTTCATTTAAAAAAATTCCCTTAATAATGAAATATTATTTAACGTAAGCCATGTATGTATATAACTAATGATAACAAAAATAATAAATGCATGTCATATAGNAAAAGGTTTTATACATATAGCGCTTTTTAAAAGGGCGCTATACTTAACTGGGCAAACGACTGTAAAGGTATAACGCCCTTTAAAAGGGCGTTATATATAAAATGGTCACCAATTTTTTCCCATATATTTTGATTCTTTGAATTCAAAAGAACCACATTTTGATTCCGGACTCGTTCTTCTCTTTCCAAATCGATCAATTAATAACAGCTTTTTGCGATTGGATGTACATTATATAGAGATAACGATTTTAAAGTGTATGGTGAAATTCGATCTAAGAATCTAATAAATCACTCCAAGTCCATACCGTGGCAATATTTTAAAGCCTTTATTGGCTAGCATGTTCGGCCAAGCTTTTTCAGGTTGAAAAATATATTTTTTTAAAATAATATATTTTTTTTTTTCAAAGTTGATGTATTTCACCAAACTTTTAGAAAAGTTTTTTTTTTTTTAAGGAGAAGCAGAAGCAGTTTTGGAGAAGCAGAAAAAAATTACTTTTTCTTTAAGCACTTTTGAGAAAAATACACTTAAAAAGTACTTTTTAAAAGTTTGACCAAATATTAATTTCTGCGTAGAAGTGATTTTCAAATTAATTAGTCAAATACAAACAGTTTTTCGCCAAAAATACTTATAAAAAATTCTTTTAAAAAAATACCCGATTTTTCCGCGAACAGGCTACAAGTGTCATTCCCAAAACCATGTGGCACCCCCTCTGAGAAGCCATAAGATAAATGGCAAAATGCTTTTGAAAAGTGACAATTGCATTTGCCACGTTCTTGCCCCCATACCATGATGGATCCATGCACATGTGCCTATAAATATGCTCTCAACTCGACAAGTAATCACCGTTAGCCGGACAAAGAAATCCTTCTACTTTTTTTCTTCTAATTTCCTCTTCTACAATAGTTAATTTGCATTAAATATTAGTTGTTCTTTTCTTTTTTCCTACTAGCTGGGAATTGTAATTTTAATATTTTGGTATTTTCTCTTCTTTTCCATTAATTAATAGTAATGGCTACGACAAACAATAACATTGTCGTTGTGATGATTCCCTTACCAGCACAAGGCCATCTCCAGCCACTGCTTGAGCTCGCTCGGCGCATTTTATCTTCTTCTAATTTTACCATACCCGTTCACTACGCCGGCTCCACCACACACTTACGCCAAGCACAGAGTCGCGCCCATGGTTGGGACCCTCTCACTACTCCCAATCTCCATTTCTCTGAGTTCCAAATGCCTACTCTCGACAACATTCCTCCTGATAGCAATGACTTTTACCCTTCAAATTTAATACCCTCTTTCTACGCTGCTCTGGAGTTTCGACAACCAGTGGCAGATCTTGTTAAGAATTTGTCTGCAGCAGATAAATTCAGGAGAGTTGTTGTCATTCATGACATTCTAATGTCTTGGGTTGTTCAAGATGTTATTACCATACCAAATACAGAAATGTACTTTTTTCATGCTGTTTCTGCTCTGGACGTATGTTCTAGAATTTTGGAAGCAAAACTAAATCCTGATCCAGTCACACCGCCAGCTGATGTTGCAGAAATATTGCAAGAACTTGCATGCATGGAACCTGGATCAGATTCACCACCGCCATTAATGGTGAAATACGTGGAGAAACAAATGAGTTGTGCGGTAAATTATGGTGGCCGAAATATTTTCAGTACTTGTAGACCCATTGACGGTATATATCTTGATTTGATGCAACAAGCTTTCAAATCGTATGATGAGCATTGGAAAACGTGGGGTCTTGGTCTTTTTATGAACCCTTTGGAAATGGATCAGAATATAAAAAAAGACACGACGAGTACCCCGCCACGTCATCACCTATTACAGTGGCTGGACAAACAAGAACCAAACTCAGTGTTACTTGTTTCATTTGGATCTGCAGCTTCATTTACTGATGAACAAATAAGAGAACTGGCACTTGGTCTTGAACAAAGCCAACAAAAGTTCATTTGGGTACTGAAAGAAGCAGACAGAGCAAATGTCTTTGCTGAGAATATCAATGGCGGCAGTAGTACCCGGGCCTTTGTTTTACCAGAAGGGTATGAGAAAAGAGCAGAAGGAAGAGGAATTGTAGAGCGGGGATGGGCCCCACAACTAGAGGTGTTAGAACACGCGTCAACTGGAGGTTACTTGTGCCATTGCGGATGGAACTCTGTAATGGAAAGCATTTCAATGGGAGTTCCAATTGCTGCATGGCCATTGCATACAGACCACCCGAGGACCGCTCTGTTATTGATCAAAGGTTTGAAAATAGGGATTTACGTTAGAGATTGGGCTCACAGAAATGAGTTGGTGAAAGCAGAGACAATTCATAATGCTGTAAAGATTTTGATGGATTCGACCGAAGGTGAAAAATTGAGGCAGAAAGCGGCGGAGCTGAAGGATACCGTGAAAGCATCGTTCATGGATGGTGGTGCAACAAAAAAAGACATTGAATCTTTTATGTCTTATATTACTAGATAAGTTCTTTAAATTTAGAGCCTCTTTGGAACCAAATCTTGTAATTGGTAAGATATATGGAATAAGATGTAATTGAGGAGTAGCAGTTAGACTCTTTAATTCTCAAGGAGATATCTCTTTTATTCTTATTTTTTAAAATAAATTGGTTTTTGACAATCTGTCTGTTTCATTTCAAATATGAGAAGAACACTTGTTAAAATCAATTTCATGTTTTGCTAGGTCCTTTTTTCTATCTATACAAATATTTATTGGAAAAATAGTTTCTAAACTCATCATATTCTTTCGCTATTTAAAAAATGGAACAAATCATAAATCTAGTTATATTCACATGATTGCGGAGATACCAGTTATTCTTTTTGATATTAGTTATATTAATTTAAAATTATTAAATGTACTTTTGGAAAATATGTATTTTAAATACCTAGTACTAATAATAAAAATTAGTATTTCTTATATGCACACATACTTGTCACACAATAAAGTTTATTTACTTATCCATATATTTAAAAATTTGTTCAATTTTTATGGTTAACTTTATTTTAAATAAAAATTAAATATCTAATTATATAATTACGCTTGTGCAATCAAGCATGATTAAATTACATTGTGATTAAGTTGATTATGACAAACAAAAACAGGTCCTTTTAACTACTTTATTTTGAAATTACTATGTTATAAATTTTTGCGCTCTCAGATGGTAGTGTTTTGGGATTAAGATATAGTTTTTATTGTTGTGTCTTCTATGCAAGTCTAGTGCAATATGTATTGGAAATACTATTAAAGTCACTAGCTAATTAATTTATTTGATGTTTCAAGTTTTATTTGCTTCGCTATGAATGAAGTCATTTTATACATGAACAATAGGTATTTCCCGTTATAAACGAAAAATGAAGTTGGGTGGGAGCTAGAGACAAGCGCCGAGGAGTGAGGCATGGGGTGTGAGCAAAAAGACTAGTGTTTGAAATCTTAATAAGACAGCAGACAGCTTGGTTCCGGGACAGGCTTCCGAGGCACTAAAAAGAATATTGATAGACAGAAAATAAAGTGTTATTTAGCTTGGAATAATGTGTAGCATAAGTTTGTCGGAAATTTCGTCTCTTACAATGGCTGTTAAAGTCATTATTTATAACTATACTTAGGGAACAAAGTCCTAGGGATCAAGCCTCTCTTATATGATAATAATGCGGGCCATTGATGAATCTGTAACGACAGACTATGAATGTCAAAATTCTCTGTAACGGATTGTGTATTTAATACCGAGGAATATTCTTCATTGTATATCTTCCGGTGGTAAATATTCCTTTGCTCTCGTTAGCAATGTACCCTTCGGACCCGATGCCAACCGAAGTTGTTGTCCTTGGTCTTGGTTTCCACTCGCTTCGTCTTCCGTCAGTCCCTTGTTCCACGTATGATGATAGGCTAGAATCACGTATTTTAGTCATAGTTTGCCCTCTAATTACTGCATTTTACTTGTGTTTGAGCTTGAATGTTAGTGTATTGTGCTTATTATGTATTTTATGCATTGCAAGAAGTGATTGCGAGCTATTAAGATAATTTGGAGCTAATTTGAACAAGTTAGAGCTTTGAAATTTGAGTAGAAGTTCGAGAGTTAAGTCGGAATCGAGTTCAGGTATCAAGGACCCGGTGCGCATATAAAATAATAGAAGAAAAGGCCAAAAGTGCATTAGAAGTTTAAAGTTTCAATCCCTCTGAAAAGTGGCACTAACACGTCATGTGTTAGGTCTTGGTAAACGATGGGATAACCCTTTTGTTTTTGGCTTTTGGCGAGAACAAGGCAGCATACATTCTTTTGGTTACAGAAAAGTTCCACTAACGCGGCGCGCAGTGCGTCGCGATGGGCGGCGCACTAATGTAATTTTTCACCCAATTAATTCTAATTCGGTTCAAAGAAGGTATTTTAGTTCAGGTCCATCCATACTCGATATAAATACATTGTAAAAATATTTTTTATAGGGGAATCGACCTAGGAGAGTTTTGAAGAGCTACCACGGCTTAAAGACACAAGATTTCATCAATTCTCTTGCCAACAATCGGTCTAAAAATAAGAGTCTTTATTGTAAAGTTGTCTTTGATGTTTTCTATGTTCTTAAACTTATTTGTGATGACTTTCTCCATATCTAAGGAGTAGTTCCCTTTAGGGTTTGATGGATTTGGTGTATTGATAATTATTTATGGATTATAACTCTAACTTTATGTATTGAATCGTTTTGGAAGATTTAATTGTTGCATCTATATTCACTAGTTCATGTAATCGAGAGAGGCATAACTTATGATATCTTTGCATTATATTATTTGTTGAGTTCATAGATTCTTCTAAGTTATTGAAAGTGGCTAGTCGAATCATTGATTAAACCTAGTTAGGAGTAGGTTTTTCTAAAGACTAATCCGCTACGCATTCTTGCATATCTTCATAGTGCTTAATTTAGTTCATCTCGTGAGGTTAAGGATTAATCGAGAGAGGAGTTTCTGCTGAACGTTTGAACTAATAATTGAGTGAATTCGAGAGACTCACTTGAACATTAGAAGTGAATTATCTAGAGTTAGATCCCGAACAATTATCTTGCACCTATCTTGTCAAAACCCTATCTTCTCCCACTCATAACCTTATTTGTTTATTTCTTGTCTCGATAGTCACTAGCCAATAACTTTAAATTCTTAGTTAACTTTAATTATTAGTTATATAAATTTCAACTGTTGATCCTCCTAGATAGCAATCAAGCTAGAAATTACTCGAACAATATTTAAATCAAATCCCTATGGAGACGATAATTTAACTATACTATATTTGGCTAGCGAGCATTAATTTCGTGTTGTGTTTTGCGCTCGTCAAAATTTTGGAGCTATTGCCGGGGATTGGTAATTAATATTGTTCAAAATAATTTTTGGTGCTAATTCGGAAATTAATTTTTTTTTATTTTTTTTATTTTTTAGTTAACTTGTCTTCAAGATTTCTTTTGTAGTACCTCACAAGTGCTAGGGATAAAGCTTTAAAAATTATTCTTGATTTTGAACTCTAATTGTTTTGAAGATGGAGCACAACCAGCCTAAGAAGACGGTTGCAGAGTTAGCAGCTCAATATTATCATTAGTCTGCTATTTGTTTTAAATGTGGTGGAAATCATCTCTGGGTTGATTGCCAAGCAGGTAAGTATTCCTCATATGGTTTATCTTTTGAACAGTCTCACTCTATTTCTAGTCCGTATAGGTATGAGGTTTCATATGGGCATAATCTTAACTCTGGTTGGGATGAATACCCTTTTTATGACTGAAATAAAAGTGAAGTGAGACAACCACCTCAAGAGGAGAATGATAGTTTAGAAGAGCTTATGTATAGGTTCATGAATAGTGTTGAAGAAAAATTTATACAAAATAATGAAGCCATTAAGAACCTAACAACGCAAGTGAATCAAATAGTAAGTATACTTTCAGAAATCTCGTTGCATTGTGATGGTGAATATATAGAGGAGATACTCTGTGAGAATGAGCCTACCTAAGAGGATGAGCATCTACAAAGAGAAATTATTACTCTGCAAGAACACTCTGATTCAATTAAGATGATTGAAGACGAGACTTTGGTTAATTGTGAAGCAATAAAAGAAGAGTTCAAGCCCTCATCCACCTTTTCACATTTACAACCTTTAGTAGTAGAGAATGAGAAAGAATTGGTCTTGGACATACCAGAGGAATATTCACATGGCCTTTCTTATTTTTTTTCTTATTCTAACCTTAATTATGTAGATTTTATTTTTGGAGATTTGCAGGAAGATTTATGGATTGATCCTGTAAAATAATGCAGGAATAAGTTGAAGATGATCATACAAAAATAATTCACCGCTCAAAAATAGGCCAAGAAAGAAAGAAAAGACCGGGTGTTGCAGATATCCTCAGAAGACTTGGGCTTAATGAGATCCATAAATAATCCCAAAAAGCGAAAACGAGGAATAAATTCAGAATTAGGGGTGGAGTTCATAAGTTCTCGAAAATGAAAAATATTCAGGAGAGTTTTATTTACCTCTTGCTTTTTACTTGTGTATCATGGGGACATGCCGCAATTTAAAGTGTGGGATTGGGGATGTAAATATGTGTATTTTGTTTTCTTTGTGTGTTTCTGTTAGTATTTTAGAAAAAAATTGACTTTTCCCGATGATGGATTACTTCGACTGTCTTCTTGAGGGATTAAAGTTGAAAAGAAAAGAAAAAGAAAAAAATAGTTGTTTTGTTTTCTTAGGTAGTGTAACAACTCCCCCTTGATTTTTCTTTGTGCCACAGTTCTTTTCCAAGGATTTTGCTTGAACCAGGTGTAGTTAGTTTTTTTTTATATTAGGAATAGAGAAGTCTTGTGTTGTGGTGTTAAAGAGAGATAACTTGCCTTAACGGTGTTGTACTTTGAAAATAGTAAGTGCTTTAGTTGTGACGCTTAGACTCAGTTTTTAACTCTTAAATAAGTACCTTAAATTGTTTGATCTTGACTTTGCTTAACTGCTTTGACTAGAGAGTCGGGATAGATCCGACCCTGAGTGAGTTATGTGCCAATGTGCGTGTGTGAGGTTTTTGTTGATATTCTGTGCATGTCAGTTGATGTCTAGAACTTGACTCGTGTATTTGTAAAGCGAAATAGTAGTCTTGTTCAGTCTAGGAAGTGATATAGACATTTCGTTGTTGAGCCAATTATATGTTTATGGCCCGTCTAATTGTTGTGTATCCTAGTCAGTCCCTTTGAGCCTATAATCTTACTTCTTTGGTAACCACACTGCAAGCTTGATCCATTTTGTTTGAATTGATTATCTGTTTGAATCTTTTACCTCTCTTGAGCACCTGAATTTGTTATGAGCTTGTAAAAGCTAAGTAAGGTATGGTCGGGTTTTTGAGTGGAACTATTGAAAAGGAAGAAAGGTGCATTGTTTGAAAAATTGTGAGAGCCACTTGTAGGGAATTGAAAAAAAAAAATGAGTTTGCTCAGAACTTAGAAAAGAAAAAAATTGA